CCAGAGGAGCCGAACGTGTGGCCCTTCACCACATCGAAAGTTTCTCGGTTAGTACGTTCAGAAAAATGTGCGAAGCGATTTTCTACAAGACAAATACCAAGCTGGGGATATTTACCACCAAAAGAAGACAGAACGTAGAGATCGGGGGTAATCAAACCGAAAGGAAAACCTACGGTTTAATAGTGGATCAGGGTGGCGGAGACTATAAAGAAGTACTTACCAAAGTAAACCAAGTGGTTGGTGCAAACGCCACCATGGCGAAGGCTGTAAGAGGAGTCCGTAGCACTAGGGACGGAAAAATGATAATAACCCTGGACAAAGACAAAGAAATTTTAAAAAAGATAAGCGAGGCACTAAACAAAGAGACTGGCACCAAAACAAGAAGGCTGGGTACGGAAAGAGACCAGGAGGTACTACACATAAGAGGCATGGACTTGAACAAGAGTAAAGAGGATGTGGTAGAAGCGCTAAAGAAGGAAAATTTGTGGGATGAAGAAACCTGCACGATTAGCGAGCTTCGGCCGCAAATTAATAAAACTCAGGCAGCCACACTCGTCGTTACAAAAGAGATAGCGAAAGAAATTTTAGCGAGGGATTACGTAAAGGTCGGCATAGCTAGATGTCGAGTGGAGAGAAGGCATAGAGTCAAAAAATGCTTGAAATGTTGGTCACACGACCATTATACTAGAGAGTGCCAGGAAAAGAATAAAATCACTAGATGCTTCAAATGCGGCCAAGAGGGTCATACTGTTAAGGAGTGCCAAAATGAAGAGGCTTGCCCCACGTGTGAGGAGAAAGGGCACGTAGCAGGTACTTTTAAGTGCCCAGCCTTCAAAAAAGCGGTGAAAGAGGCAAGAGAAAAAGAAAGAAATTTTAGTAGACAGTCATCGAGAATATCAACAACATCGATGAACGAGGGAGAAGAAATTGCCCTAAAGAAATGGTGCGAAGGCGGCATTGGTCAGCGGGACCCCGCTGGAAACATTTAACTTACCTCACTTACCTACAAATCTAAATTATATCAACACTTATATTTATACACCTATTCTATTTATACTTACCTGTTTTTACTTATACCTATTTAAATCTATATCTAGTCTATACTTACCTGTTTTGTTTACCTATACCTATTTATATACACCTACTTTATACTTACCTTTATATACATATATATATATAAATATATATATATTTATACCTAGTAAATAGCATGAAATTCCTCCAAATAAATGTCGGTCGTTCAAGTAGGTCGCATGATGTCTCGGAAGCTCTGGCAAACCGGATCGAAGCGGACATCATATTCATCCAAGAACCTAATATAAATACCTGTAAAAAAAAGGGTTTAATTATGGATAATACTTACTCAGTCGCGGTCCAAGTTAGGAATAGAAACATCGGAATCCAAAAACACGAAAGTAAAAACGGATATCTTAAAATCGTCCTAAAAGATACTACTGTGTATAACTGCTATATCTCTCCTAATATTGAATATGGACAATTTGAGAAGCAAGTAGAAGATATCATGCAGGATCTACGAACACAAAATAAATTAAATGCAATTATACTCGGAGATTTCAATGCAAAGTCTTACCTATGGAGCCCGGATAAAGAAGATCAAAGGGGAAAGCTCATAGAGGAATGGATGGCTACTCTAAACTTGTTAGCACTCAACGATGGAAAGGTCCCTACCTTTGCCAGGAAACAATCAAACTCGTTCATTGATATCACGATGGTGACAGAAAATATATCGCGGCGCGTTAGTAACTGGGAAGTCTTACTTGAGGAAAGCCTAAGTCTACATCGGTTTATACTGCTGGATATAGAAAACAATCCGGGTAACAAAAGGAAAAAATCTCTCCTCCAATCAAAACCGGATCTAGATAAGGAAGCTGCGAAAATAATAATGGAACTTATGAAAGGAAAAATAAGAGGGAAGTATGAGAAGATCGTGGATGTGCTCACAGCGGCACAACGGTTGAGCCAAAAAATAACGCCACAAAAAGAACACAGATGCCAACCCTATTGGTGGAACGGGGAAATAAACCGAATAAGAGAAATCTGTAACCACAAGAGAAGAGTACTGACAAGGGCAAGAGGGAAGAGAAATATGGAAAGCAACCAGATAGAGCTACTGGAGGAAGAATATAAGAATACACGAAACGAGTACAGGAGGGAAATCAACAAGTCGAAAAGGGAGTGTTGGAAGAACAGGTGCAAGGAGATCGACGAGGATGTCTGGGGACTGGGATACAAGATTGCCACGCGGGATTTAAAAGGTCAAAGATCTCCGTACGAGACAAGCCCGAACATAAAGGCAAAAATAATAAATGATCTCTTTCCGGATTGGTACAGAATTGATGCAAAGTTCACGCGCTCCAACATCTATCAGGAGTTTAGCATGGAAGAACTCGTGCAAGCATCTTGTAGATTAAAAACGGGTAAAGCACCGGGACCAGATGGCATAAGGGTGGAGACACTGAAGGCAGCAATCGAGATAATTCCCGAAGAAATTCTCGGGGTCTTAAATGGGATCCTACGGAGACAGAAATTTCCAAAACAGTGGAAAAAAGCAAATGTGGTTCTCATCCCCAAAGGCCGCATCGAAGAACTCAAGTATCGACCGATATGTCTATTGGATACGCTGGGGAAGCTCTTAGAACATCTCATTAAAGCCAGATTAGAAGATGAAATCCACTTATCGCCGAATCAATTTGGTTTCCGGAAAGGAAAATCCACAATCGAAGCAGTAGAATCCATCCTAAAAAAAAATACTGGAACTTGGGCGGCAGTGATTTGTATCGATGTGAAGAATGCATTCAACACAGCAAAATGGGAATTAATACAACAACGTCTGGATAAGTATAAGATACCGACATACCTTGTAAACCTAATACGCAGTTATTTCGATGACAGAGTTATCCAGGCCAAGGGATACAGCAAACCGGTCCGGCAAGGGGTCCCTCAAGGCTCAGTGCTAGGACCGCTGCTGTGGAATATTCTGTACGACGGCGTCCTCGAGGTAGAGATACCAGAGGGCTGTAGAACAATAGCTTACGCAGACGATCTCAGTTTAGTAGTGGAGGCTAACAACAAGGTAGAGCTGGTAGAGAAGGCGAACGTAGCTCTCAGATGGATACACGCATGGATGACCCAAAACCACCTCGAATTAGCGTTGCAAAAAACAGAGGCTGTTATAATCAGAGGCCCTAGAGCACGGGACGATGTCGTCTTCGAAATCGGGAACTACAGCTTCAAACCGACCAGATCACTTAAATGCTTAGGAATTTACATAGACGACAAACTGGTATTCAGTGAACACATTAAGAAAACTGTCGAAAAAGCGCATAAAAGTTATAGGGCGTTGACCCAATTGATGCCAAATATGGAAGGACCCGGTAGTCAAAAAAGGGAAATGCTTGCATCGGTAGTGCACTCAGTGGTGCTATATGGAGCACCAATCTGGCACAGGGTAACCCAAATAAAGAAGTACTGCGGCATGTTGCAAAGCCTGCAGAGAAAGACTCTGCTAAAGGTCATAAGCGGATATAGAACCGTGTCGGCTGAAGGAACGAATGTAATAGCAGGTATACCGCCAATTACCTTGCTAATAGAAGAGAGAGTAAGGATACATAGGAGAAAGGAGAAGGAAATAATTACGACTGTTATAAAAAAGGAAGAGCGATTGGAAACACTAAGGAAATGGCAAAAAAGGTGGGAAGAGCTAACATCAGTGGCACAGCATACTAAAGAACTAATATCGAATATAGAACAGTGGGTAACGTGCGAACATAGATACACGAACTATTATATAACGCAGTTTCTCAGCGGACACGGTTCCTTTCGCTCATACACCTATCGTATAGGTAAGGCAGAGGACGATCTCTGCATATATTGTGGAGAGACCGACTCACCTGTGCATACAATTCTCGACTGCAATCGCTGGCATGAAGACAGGTCCAAAATGGCGCTGTTAATTAACACTAACGTCACCAAGGAAAACATCATACAGCAAATGACAGAGGATAAATCAAAATGGAATATCATTGCAAAGTATATTGCAGACGTAATGAAACGGAAGGAGTTGGACGAGAGAGAGCAGCAGAGAAGATCGTAAGGAATAAAGGGAAGGAGTAGCAAGCCGCCAAGCGCCTGACGTGAATATCTGGAAAGACAATACCAGGCGCTTGACGGGCATAAATGAAAGGACGAAATGAAAGGAGGTGGTTTTAGTGGGTAAACAAGGCTTGCACACCCCGCCTTGGAGTCTCACACTACCGGGGAAGGGAAGAACCTGTACCCGGTGTCCATAAAGGATTTCCACCTGTCAAAAAAAAAAAAAAAAAAAAAAAAAAGGGTAGGGTAGGGTAGGGTAGGGTAGGGTAGGGTAGGGTAGGGTAGGGTAGGGTAGGGTAGGGTAGGGTAGGGTAGGGTAGGGTAGGGTAGGGTAGGGTAGGGTAGGGTAGGGTAGGGTAGGGTAGGGGACCAAATGGCCGGGTTTTGGGTCTGGGCTGACCCAGTGGGTCTCAGTAGGTGCGGTAGGGTGCCCATACTTACCGTACAATAAAACGCTGAGCCCGCAGTCCTGTGTGGACGAACCGGCAAATCCTATCTCCACCTCCTCGTGGTGGTCCCTGGTAATGCGCGGCGTGCTGTGAAGTACGTCTCGTAGCTAACGGAGAAGGGTGATCGGCGAATCTCTGGCGCGCAATCTGGAGCACATGGGCTATGGGAAGGAAAACCTGAAAGAAACCAAACGAAGATTAATATGATGAGTGATAGGACTGAGGAGAATTTACGGGACAGGGAATTCGGAATCCCAGAACCGGTCGGTGAGGGCAGTGAGCGAGCGGGCTCCCCCCGACCGTCAACATGCGACCGCTCGGAATCTCTGATGGGGAGACAGGTCAGAGAGTCTGGAAATGCTACTGTCGAACAACAGGAACCAGGAAGTGGAAGTGGGGAAGAATCAGATAGGAGTAAGGAATCCGCAATGATGGCAGGATGGTTATCGCAGGACATCAGTATAAGAAGAAACTCTCTTAGAAGGTCGCCTGTTTGTGTGGAAAAAACGAAGGGAGATAGAGGGGAAACCCCTACAAGGAAGTTAAATGAAAAGGAAAAGGAGGCTATAATTATGCAGGATAGTGAGGAGAGTACGAACCTGCAGGAGAAGGTGGGATCGGCTGGTAAACGGAAAAAGTCGGAAATGGATTCCCCTCCGGAAAGCGGAGACCGGGCAAAAAGGGAAAAGTCGGATGAGGAGATGATGATCAAGTCCATGCTGAGAGTAATGAAGACCGCGAAAAGGCTAAAAGAAATGATCGCCAAAACAACAAACACGAGAGGGGACATTAGACAGGCAAGTAAAGATCTGGACTACCACGTGGACAAACTAAGCGTTGATCTGGAAGGCTGGCAGACAAATAAAAGAGTGTCGCCTAGGAAACCGGTTGAGAGGAAAGAGATAGGAACGCAGACAGAGGAGGAGTACAAGGACACAAGGGAAATCGGGATACAGGCATGTACTGAAATGGTAAATCTAGAGGATATCATTAATAGGAATCAGAACTTTAACGAGGTAGAAATGGTGCTGGAACAAAGTTGGCCTGAGGAGATTTATCATCGGACCAAAGAAGTGGTGGATTTCCCGATTCGTGCTACGGATAGGGGATGGGACTTGGCGGTATTGATTGATCCAAAGGTCAAGGATAAAGGATTAGGAAAGATATTAAGGGATCGTAACCCAGAAGCGTGGGAACTAATCGAACCAAATGCAGAGGAGATGAAATATCTAGCAACGACGTCAAAAACAACTACATGTGATGGAAAAATAATTGAGAATACAAAACATGTGTATATACTACCATATAGGGGTGAAGAAGATCCAGACAAATATAAGGCGATGTATGAAATGATGGCATATCTTAGAGATAGGATAGAGGAGACGGGCAGGGATAACCTAGTGTTCGCAGCAGCAGAAGGCATCAACAGGGACTTATGCCGAAAGATCCTTGAATGTACCTTTAGGAAAACGAGCATAAACATAGAATGTAGGGTGCCAAGTAGGAGTAGTCAAGAAGTTCGGGAAAGGGAAAGGGAAAGACCAGAACGCAAGCATAGTGTTCTAACTGTCAAAGGTAATGGGGAAACGTACGCTGATTTACTAAAAAAGGTCAAAGAAAAAATCGATATTAAGAAGATGGAAATCAACGTCAAAAAGGTACGGAGGACAGGAAATGATGACCTTCAAATTCTATTGGAGGAGGGGAAAGAAAAAACTAGGTTGCTGAAGGACGAAATAGAGGCGTACTGTAATATTAAGAAGGTGTCGACTAGAACAAACGGTAAACTGTTATACATATTAGGAATGGAAGAAACAACAAATGAGGAAGACGTCACAAAGGCACTCACGGATGCACTAGGAATTGATAAGGAGGAAATGGAAATAGTAGCGATTAGGCCAGCAAAAAACAAGGAGAAAACAGGAGTGATCGTGATTTCAAGGGCAGCAGCAAACACGCTAACGAACATGGGCTATATAGAAATTGGATGGACAAAATGCTCGGTAAGGGAGAAAATCGAAATTGTCCGATGTTTTAAGTGTTTAGAACATGGGCATAAGACCAGGGAATGTAAGCTAGAAGGAAAACGATTAGACTTATGCTTAAACTGTGGCGAAGAAGGTCACTTATCGAAGGAATGTACAAACGGGATGTATTGTATAAAATGTAAAATGAAAGGCCATAGATCAGACCAAATTAAGTGTCCACATTTTAAGAGCTTGGTTAACGAAGTCCAGAACAGGAAGAAGGTTGAATTTAACAGGCTGACTAGCATCAATAGCACAACAACAGAGCAATCATATACGGTCGAGGCGAGGCGTCCGTCGTATGTATAATCCATGGTACTCTTAAGAATATTACAGACCAACTTGGGCCGAAGCAAAGCGGCCCATGATCTAGTGTACAAAACGCTAGAAGAAGAAAAGGTAGATATACTGGTTGTCGGGGAACCGAATAAAAACATAACGAGTGGTGGGAAATGGATTAGAGATCGAAGAGCAGATGTCGCGATTATGTTTCATAACAGAAATATAGATATTAAATCGATAATACGGGAGGATGGATATATAATAATCGATGTTAAGGATTTTAAAGTAGTGTGCTTGTATTCTTCGCCTAACATAGATTTTAAGGATTTCGTAAGGGACATAGACAAGATGATGGAGGACTGTAAACGGATTCAGGGAGATTATCTATTAATGGGAGATGTTAATGCTAAGTCGTTACAATGGGGATCCAGGATCGAAGATAGAAGAGGCGAATATATATCAGAATGGATTGCGGAACTAGATCTAAAGATCGTCAATACAGGGGACAAACCGACGTATGAAAGATGGAACGCGTCATCTTGCATCGATATTACATGTGCAACAGACGGATTACTGCGGAAAATAGAAGGATGGAAAGTGATGGACGTAGAGAATCTGTCGGACCACCGGTATATCTATCTTGGCATTAGGGTAAGGGCAAAGAAAAATAAGAGTTCCATGGAAAAAAGAATACAGACAGTTGACTGGTCAGCGTTTAGGGAAGGATTAAAGTTTAGGTTAGCAACGTCACAAAAAACACAGGAAAGTATCAGTACGAGGTTGGAAGTCATAGCAGAGGCGTACAGGAATAGTACTAAGAGGATAGGAAAGGCCAGGGAGAGGGGAGCGCCTTACTGGTGGAACCCAGTCATAGCGGCAGAAAGGGTAGAGTGTTTAGCGGCAAGAAGGACCATGACAAGATTGTCTTCACAAAAACAAGCCACAGAAAGAGCGAAAAATGATGCTAGAAATAATTATAAGCGGAAGAAAAAACAATTAAAAAAGCTAATAGAAGAGGCAAAAAGGGCTGAATGGAAAAGAGTTTGCAGCGAATTAGAGGAAGACATCTGGGGAAAGGGATTTAAAATTGTGACCGGAAGGCTGACCAAGCTAACCCCTGTGGAGATAGGCAAGGAACAAAAAATTAAAGCAGCAAAGGAACTATTTCTAATAGGGGAAAGAGAGAGAAGAGGGGAAAGATACAGTCGAGAGCAGGAAGTAAACTTATTTACCGAATCGGAATTAGCCGAGGCGGTAAATAAGTTAAAAAACGGTAAGGCACCCGGACCGGATGGTATTCCGACAGAGGCTATAAAGGAGACATTTGCCGTTTGCCCAGAATTATTACTCGATATAGCTAATGAGGTCTTGACAGAACAACAACTGCCCCCGGAGTGGAAGGCAGCAAAATTAATTCTGATACCAAAGGGTGGGAACGTCAACAAATTCAGACCAATTTGTTTACTGAATACGATTAACAAACTAGTGGAGGCAATGATTAAAGGAAGACTGGAAGATGAGTTAGAAGCGAGGAATGGGATGGCCAACAACCAATACGGTTTCAGAGCGGGCAGGTCCACTATACAAGCAATGGAGACGGTAAAACAGAGACTAGTAGAAGGTGACGACAAGTGGCTGGCGCTTATAACAATAGATGTTAAAAATGCATTTAATGCGGCCTCATGGGATATCATAATAAGACAACTTAGGAAGAAGGGAATATCTGACTATCTGGTGAAGCTAATTAGTTCATATCTAAACAATAGAAGAATTATCGTGGAGGGTGAGGAGTTCGTGGTAACAGCCGGAGTTCCACAGGGCTCGGTCCTTGGTCCGACCCTTTGGAATGTGCTCTACGACGGACTACTCAGAATTACATTCCCGGAAGGAGTCAATGCGGTGGCGTTCGCGGACGACCTAGCCTTGGTGGCAGGAGCCGCAGATAAAACCGACCTAATGCATAGAGCGAACATAGCATTACATATGGTGGAAGATTGGATGAGTAGGAATAGGTTAGAGATTGCACCGGAAAAGACGGAAGCCGTCATAATGAAAGGCCATAAATGGAAGAGGATAAGAAGGGAAGTGAGGTTCGAAATAAAAGGTAGTGAGATAAAGCCGCAAGATAGTATCAAATATTTGGGGGTCATGTTTGGAGAATTGGGTAGTTTTAGGGATCACATCTCGTATGCGTGTAAGAAGGCTGAGGAAAGGACCGGAAAAATAAGCAGAATACTTCCAAGGATAGGTGGGCCCAGCACTAAGAAAAGGGAGGTGCTATGCGGAGTGGTTCATTCCATTCTACTCTATGGCGCTCCAATTTGGGCAGAACAATTAAAATATAAAAGATACAAGCAACGAATGGAAACGATTCAGCGGAAATATCTAATAAGATTAACTCGTGCTTATAGGACGGTGTCAACCAAGGCTGTGCAGGTAATCGCGGGAGTGATGCCAATACATCTCTTGGTGGAGGAGAGAGCCATCATCCATGATAACAACGTGGGACGAGATGGAACGCAAAAGGCAAAGGTCAGGGCGATGATGATGAGAAAGTGGCAAGAGGAATGGATGAGCAACAACGATGTGGGACAGTGGACAAAGAGTGTGATCCAAAACATTGAGGATTGGGTGGGCTGCTCACACAGACAGCTAGACTATTTTTTAACGCAATTTTTATCAGGCCATGGATGCTTTCAAAGCTATGTTAAAAAGATCGGGAAAGTCTATGACGATAAATGCATGTACTGCGAGGAGAGCGATTCACCGTCCCACACCGTATTTGCGTGTGTGAGATGGAATAGAGAAAGAGAGGAGATCGAGAAGTTACTAGAGGTGGCGATTACACCGGATAACTTGGTTGACATTATGTGCCAAAGCCCTTCTAATTGGGAGGGGGTAAAAAGTTTTATTGGAAAAATATTAGCGGAAAAAGAAAAAGATGAAAGGATCAACGAGATAAGGTAAATGAAACGAAGCGGGACCATTCAAAAGTTCGATGAATGCCGGGCGACGGCGGTTCCGACTTTTGTATGGCGAGCCGAGGTGGTTTTAGTGGGTATACAAGGCTTGCACACCCCGCCTTGGAGTCCTCAGACTACCGGGGAAGGGAAGAACCTGTACCCGGTGTGCATAAAGCATTTCCACCTGTCAAAAAAAAAAAAAAAAAAAAAAAAAAAAAAAGGGTAGGGTAGGGTAGGGTAGGGTAGGGTAGGGTAGGGTAGGGTAGGGTGGGGTCCGAATGGCTGGTACCTGGGTCTCAGAGGTGTTCCGGATTGCCAATGTCCGGGACGCATTAAAACTTTGAGTAACGCCCAAAGGCGCCCATATGCGGCCCATAGTCTTGAAAAGGCTGTTGAGATAGTCCTGAGAAGGACTATTGAGATAGTCCTGAAAAGGACTGTCGAGATAGTCCTGAAAAGGACTGTTGAGATAGCCTTGAAAAGACTTACCGGCAAATCCTTTCTCCACCTCCTCGTGGTGGACCCTGGTAATGCGTGTTCCGCATCTTACGATGCGCGTCACGTAGCCAACGGAGAAGGGTGAAGGCGAGCTTTCCGGCGCCATAACGGGAACCTATTGGCTAAGGGAAGGAAAACCCTGACAGAAAACCAGGGACGGAGCATTGGTAACGGACTGGCGAGGACATGGATTTAAAAAAAATAAATTATTATGGATAGGACGAAAACAGAAAAGGAACTTACCGAACAGGGGGTCGGATCCCCAGTTCCGGTCGGTGCGGATGGTCAGAGAGTGGGCCTCCCCCGACCGTCATCATGCGACCACTCGGAGTCTTCAATGGAGAGGCAGGTTGAAGACTCGACCACTGCTACTGCTAAGAAACATGTTGGTGCTGGAACATCTGAAAACAAAAGCAAAGAACGATTAGAACAACGGTTGATCACGGGAGCATTTAGACGAAGTCTTTCACTGGAAGGAGCACAAAGGAAAAGGAAAGGATGCGACGAACACATGGGAGCCTATAAAAAGACAATGTCTACGGAAGCGTATACCTTACTGGAAGCAATCGATTCAACACTAAGACAGGTCACTAAACTAAGGAAACTCGTTGATGATCACCCTAATACATTGAGAGAGATGAAAGAACAAATCCAGGCTCTATCAAGGAATACAGAAGTTTTCAAAAGGGTGTCTATAAAGGAATGGCTGGAAAAAAACAAATATGAACCTATAGAAAAAATCACATACGAGGTAGATACACAAACATGCCAAAGTATCACAACGGACATAAGAAACACGAAAGATGCCGAAACACAAACTCCGCCATTTAAAATAGGGCAAACAATATTTTCGCTGGGGGAGATAGACAGCCTCGAGGAATTCAGGAAAGTAATGGACGACCCATGGAAAGAGGAGTTATTCAAGAAGACAGAGATAATCGTAGGTAACCCAGCGGCAAGTAACGATCCAATGACGAAAGTGGTCCTAGTCGAAAAAGACGATATTGAAATGGAAAAAGGGATACAGAAAATATTTAAGGCAAGATACCCGGAACTAGAGGAGATGGAAGACGAAATAGATGTAATAGAACAATATACTAAAATAAGATCGAAAGACAATAAAAAGGAAATGGTTAAGAAGAAAATTATCAGAGTCAATCTCGAAGGAACACTAGAAGATCTGGAAGTAAAACTCAAGCAGCTACTGGAAGAAACAAAAGACGACGAAACGGTGGCCTTACATAAAATTAGAGGGGTGAGCCTGGAAACATTAAGAAAACTAACGGAGTGGATATATCACGGCGCAAAGACAAAAATTCGAATTTACACGAACACTGGACAAACAGATGGGAGAAATATGACAGGTAGACAACGAAACACTTATGCATTAATAGTGGATAGCGACAACACGACATACAAGGACGTTTTGAACAAAGTCAAAAACCTTATAAAAACGGACCCGGCAAGCAAATCCGTCAGGAGCCTAAAGAGCAGCAAGGAAGGGAAATTGATACTTACCACCGACAAGGACGAAAGGGCAATCAACAAGTTACAGGACATTATAAAAACAAACGGCGAACTAAAAATTAGAAGAACTGCTGGCAAACTGGAGACGATACACATTAGGGGTATGGACGCTAACATAACCAGACAAGAGGTTATCGAGGAAATAGGCAAAGTGATAGGTTGGAAAGAGGACATAGACAAAGCGAGTGAACTGAGACCAAATGCTGGTAAAACACAAGCAATAACAATCACGGTAGAGAAAGAAAGAGCCCAGAAACTGCTAGAAAGCGAGTACATCCAAATAGGCGTTGTAAGATGCAGGATGGAGAAGAAAGTTGCGGTTAGGAGATGCACGAGGTGCTGGTCCTACGAGCATGGGATTAAGGATTGTCAAGGAATAGACAGGAGCAAACAGTGCTTTAAATGTGGCAGTGAAGAGCACAATGCCAGAAAGTGCGAAAAGACAGCATGTGCTCTCTGTCAAACGGATGAGCATAACTTCGGAACTACGCAGTGCGAGAAGTACAGAGAAGCTTTAACAGAAGCAAGGAAAAAGTATAGAAGGAGTACATCGTATAGGTCCCAAGTTAGCACGGCTGACGAAGAAGCGACGAAGGAAAAGGATACAGTCTACCAGGCAGTAGTAGAAACGAGCAATGTATACGCACCACTGATGGAACTCGGACAGGAGGAATCGGGCGGCAGCGCCAATCCTAAGAGCGAATAATGAGAGTACTGCAAACCAACCTAGGTCGATCCAAAGCAGCACACGACCTAGTCCAGGAAATCGCTGCAAGAAAGAACATAGATCTAATAATTGTATCGGAGCCAAATGTCACAATCGCAAAAAAAGCGGGTTGGATAACAGATAACAAAAGCGAAGTAGCAGTGTATATTAGGAATAAAAACTGCGGTATCGAACGTATATACAAAGAAAATAGCTTTATCATGGTAAAATTTAAGAAAATCAGCTTAGCATGCTGCTATATAAGACCAAACATAACGGTAGAAACATATGAGAACGTAGTAGAAAGAATTATGAGGGTATGTAGTCAATATAAGAGGTTTATTGTAGCAGGAGACATAAACAGCAAATCTGTTAAATGGGGATCACCGCAAACGGACGCGAGAGGAAGTATATGGATGGAATGGATGGCGACACTGAACATGGAGGCGGTTAACTCGGGAGCGGTCACGTTCCAGAGGGGATCGTCAGAAAGTCACATTGATGTCACATGTGCTACGCTGAACATCATGAAAACCATTAAGAACTGGCAGACACTCGACGAGGAGACTTTCACGAATCACAAGCACATATACTTCGAAATTGATGATACAACTATGGGCACACCGAGCAGAGAGAGTACAAGAAACACATACGACATCAAAAAATACGTGAAAGGAATGGAACAGATCGACAAATGCGACAACACGGACCAGTTAATATCGACAATAAAAAGGGAACTACGAAAATCGATCATCCAAAATAGAGACCCAAGCAGGAAAATACCGTACTGGTGGACACTAGAAATCCAACAACAAAAACAAAAATGTCTTAACCTGCGGAGAAAGCTAACGAGAACAAGAACGCATGGCAACATATCGGTCATAAACGGGTGGAGCGAACAGCTGAAGGACGAAAGGAAAAAACTAAAGAAGATGATAAATTTAAGTCAAAGAAAAAGCTGGGAAAAACTAATGGAGGATCTCAACGACGACATATGGGGGCAGGGTTACGCAATAGCGGTAAAAAATCTAGGATCCACATTGCCATACACTCTACCACCAGATCGGAAAATGGAAATTGCGAAACACTTGTTCCCAAGGACAACGGATGTTCTGCCTAGCATAGAGAAAGTAAGAAATGTTCCCCTTTTCTCCAAAGAAGAGCTAGTTGACGTTGCGGAGAGAATAAAAACGAAGAAGGCACCAGGACCCGACGGAATACCGCCCGACATAGTAAAAACAACGATCAATACTAAACCGGAATTGATACTAGGGGTGATGAACCAGCTGATCACGGAGCAGAAATTTCCAGAGCAATGGAAAATCGCGAAGCTAGTCCTGATACAAAAGCAGAAGATGCCCGGAGATTCGCCCAAATCGTTTAGGCCAATCTGTCTATTGGATGTCCTTGGGAAATTATATGAAGGACTTATAAAAAACAGGCTAGAAGCCTCACTTGGAGAGGAAGGACTATCGGATAGACAGTTTGGCTTTCGAAAGGGAAAATCGACGGTGCAAGCGGTGCAGTGGGTGATGAACCAGGTGGAATCATCCGAATTTAAGTGGGTAGCTTTGGTTACCCTCGACATTGAGAATGCGTTCAATTCTGCGAAATGGAGCATAATCATAAAGGCTCTAGAAGACAGGAATGTGGATAAATACATCGTATCGATAATCAGGGATTATTTTACAAATAGGCGGATTAAAATCGACGGAAATGATACACTGGAGATGACCGCAGGCGTCCCACAGGGATCCGTCTTAGGTCCAACGTTATGGAATCTGCTATACGATCCAGTGCTGAAAGTAGAACTAGCTGAAAACTGTACCAGCGTGGCTTTTGCAGACGACCTAGCGGTGCTGGCTCAGGCAAGGAATCGGGAAGAACTGGAATTTAGGATCAATGAATCGGTATTACGGATAAACGAATGGATTGTGAAGAACGGTTTGAAATTGGCACACCACAAGACGGAAGCGGTCATACTGAAAGGCACGAACCAAAGAAGAATACGGGAAGAGATCAAGTTCCAGATAGGTCCTCACGTAATTGTTCCCTCAACATATTTAAAATATTTAGGCATATACTTAGACCACAACAGAAGTTTCACGGTACACGTTAAAAAGACCTGCGAAAAAGCTGAAGAAAAAATAACGACTCTGGCTAAATTAATGAGGAACAACAGTGGTCCAGATAGCTTGAAAAGGCAAGTACTGGGAGAGGTGGTTCACTCCATCCTGCTGTATGGTGCACCGGTTTGGTCCAAGGTCCTTCACATGAAACGTTATAAAAACATGCTGTGTAGAACTCAAAGAAGAATTCAGCTAAGAATAGCGAGCTCCTACAAAACCGCGTCTGAGGAAGCGTTAGCGGTCATAACTGGTATCCTACCTATTGATCTGCTAATACTCGAAAGGGAAGAGATCCACACGAATGGATGGAGAGAGAAATCTCAAAAAGACAATGCCAGAAAAGCTAGCATCCTCAGATGGCAGACAAAGTGGGACGAAAATACAGGTAACGCGCAGTGGACAAAACGCCTTATCCCAAACCTAGAAAAATGGATAAACTGCAAGTTTAGAAGAACAAACTTCTATGTCACACAGTTCCTGACTGGACATGGACCGTTCAAGTCGTACACGAAACGGATTGGCAGGACCGCTGACGACTGTTGCAACTTCTGCGAAGAAGTGGATACAGTCCAACATGCGGTTTTCGACTGCCCCCGATTTCGTGTTAAAAAAGAAGCCCTACAATGTGACTTAAACGAGAGAATATATCCGGAAAATATCATCGAGATCATGAGCAAAAATGAAGAGCACTACAACAAGATTGCAGAGTACATAAAAGGCATCTTGGAAGAGAAGGAACAAGAAGAAAGAAGGAGAGAAGAAATAGAAAGGAATGGAGAAGATCATATATATATAGACATATAGAGAAGACAACCCACCTGGATATCGACGAAAGCCGGAAAACGGCGGTACCGATATCCAGGAGAAGGGGAGGCAGAGGAGTTTTTAGTGGGTATTATGCAACCTTTGAGTCCCACACTACCCCCGCCGACCAACTGCGGGGGTGTGCATTTTCTCCTCTGCCCAAACAAAAAAAAAAAAAAAAAAAAAAAAAAAAAAAAAAAAAAAAAGGGTAGGGTAGGGTAGGGTAGGGTAGGGTAGGGTAGGGTAGGGTAGGGTAGGGTAGGGTAGGGTTACTGACTGGAAAGTCTTGCCAGATGAAAATTTTAGTTGGCACAGGTTCATTTCATTTGACCTGAACTTCAGTTGCGCTAAAAGAAAATCATACGCCGGCAAAATCGTGATCGACGAATACGTACTGCAATACGCTCTCGAACTAACAGGCAAGGAGGTCAAAGGAAGCGTAGGAGGGCTGATCAAGGCTCTGAAGAGCGCACAAAATCTAAGTTCGATAAGATGCAGGGGTAGCCAGAACTTCGCATTACCATACTGGTGGAATGAACAGGTGGAAACCGCAAGGAAAATATGCAACAGAGC